GAAGGCGCGAACAATGAATTGAATGGACTGGGGTTGATCGAGTGGCATGGCTCGGCCATGCAGGCGTGGTCTCTATTCATATTAAATATATTGTTCTTTCTCTAAACTAACCTGGTTCTTCATCATGTATTGGTAATTGATACGATACAGTGAGTTGGCGTAGTCGATGGTGTGACTTCCACGTAAGATCTTATAGATTAGGCAGTTATATCATGACGAATCTACAAATTTAGGATTAGGTCTATTATTAGAGCAGTACTAATATCGTAGTAGACCATAATTCTACAAACTCTTTGTTGACGCTCAACTAAGAAGTCTTTTATCCGCATAGCAGAACGATTTTTCAGGCCTGGTATGCGTCAGGACGTGAGGAACTCGGCACACTTCTGTGTAAGCTGCTAGAAATCTAAAGTAATTATACACAACAATTGTCTATTGGGCTAATTCGAAAATTCCAACGCTCGTTTTGATCATGTCCATCTGGATTAAGTTGGATTTTTACTAGGTTCTAGTGGATATCCTTATCTCTTAACTTATGTAGACCGTTTCACACGATGGCCAGAATTAGTACACGTGAACAATATTACTGCTGAAACAGTGGTTAGCGCCTTCGTCGAACGGTGGGTAAAAAGGTTCGGCTGCCCTTTAACTAACACTAAAAGACCATGGACGCAAGTTTGATTCCGGACTTTTCCGTTTTCTCACTACAGTATTAGAAATTACACGATTCCTAACGACCGCAAGCAGTCGGGTTGGTTGAGCGCTTTCACCGACAACTAAAAGCTTCACTATCAGCTGCAATGGACCGACGCTCTTCCACTCGTCTTACTAGATATTCGCAATGCTGACATTGGATACATTGCGGCTCCACTCGCTTATGGAACGACACTTCGACTAACAGGAGAATTCGTGGATCCTTAATCTTCTCCAAAAGATGAAAAACCGATAAAGATGACGAAGAACCAAAATATTTATTTTACTTGTTTTTTATTACTACATTGTATCACATGGTCCGTAATAGTAAGGGAGGACGACTGGACGCTGCTGAACATAGCAAGCCGCCAAAAGAGTGTTTACCAACAACAAACTCGTTGAGTTTAAACGTCCAGCTGGCTATGTCTTAGGGTTACTACTACGTCACCAAGAGGGAATAATCTGTAGCGGTAAATAAATCTCAAAAAAAGATCTGAAATCCTTCGATATTTGTTGCTGACCACTATATATTTTACTGGACTAACCTAGTTGAGAAGACTCCCAGTCACGCATTTGCATCAGATACGCTGTGCTAAACTTTTCTTACAACCACTAGTCAACCCTGGATAATCAGTTCCCGATATACTGATTGCCTATCAAATATATCTTTGAACATCTTCGTTCATGAATTCTGATTCGACTGGGTTGGTATATTTCTCGTGTAAAGGTGTTTCTGTTTAAGGCGTTATCAAACTCCAAATACTTGTGACATCTTTATCCGTAACACAAATCAGTATCTAGCTTACGACATAGTCTGTCTCAAAACACTACATATACCACCTCAAATCTTCTACCCCATTAATAAAAATACATTATGCTTGGTTCTCCACACAACTAATTTTAGAAGCTATCATCTTACCTAACTGGGTATACACAACATTACAAATGTTACCACTGTTATTACTTATTGACATCAAAGAATAAAACTGATCTGCTTTCTCCGCGATTTTTCATTCTGTAAGGATAGTCTTTTATGATCAGATTGTAATAAAGTGAACAATCTATAAGTCCCTCAAAATTCTTTATTGAGCCTTTTTATTTATTTAGTCTTTCACTCTGCTTTTTGCTTAGCTTTTACCCAAGAATCATGTAGCTATGATTTACAGGTAAAGGCGTTGTCAAACTTTGAATACCGGGAGTCTCTTTAAACTAACCAAATCAGGTAAAACTGTTGTGCTTTGATATCGCCTAATGTAAGTGACTTCGAAAAACATCGTGCGGTGTATAGAAGGACGTAAATCTGCCAATTAGATGAAATTGAGTTTGTCCAATCGTCCGCGTTTTCAAATTTATTGATCATTAAAGATTACATTGTAATTGACGTAGCATGTACGCCCACAATTTAGACAGTTATTTGGCTTCAAGCTGACTAGGGAATGTGCTCCCTACCATAGTAAACATAGTAACATTCCCCTAACTAGAGGGTCAATAAACAATGAGCTGGTCACTTTACTTGTCACAGAAAGACATTTAATTCTAGAATACAACCAACACTTTCAGAAGAGTGAATAAACAGACAAAAGGCCCATTATTTTACAGTGAATAGTGATTATTGTATATATTCTTACGCCTAGGTCGTAATTTCATTATATCGACCACACTCTCTATCCAGATACTGGGACTTTATGGAAATTGGAATCAATCTGTAAAAATGCAGAAACAACCATCTGAAGTGATTTATGGATTGATAGTTACCTAGTATAAATTAGGGCAATGATTAGCAGTGGTAATCGTTGAGATTGTTCGAGATACTATTGACCAGTATTCAATTTTCTTCTTGTTCGCACACAACGCATATCGGCGGATATGATACAGGTTAAAATAAGTGGTCATCACATAAACTCATTGTCAAACGTTCAACCAAGTTAAGTGATGAATATGACATCTAGATGGTTTATAATGGCATTGTTTTCAAACAGCGCACCACTTTAATACATGTTCGTTCCCGAAATGTCCACTTCTTTTCAAATCCTCAGTAAGTTCTCCCAAACTGCCCACTTGCATGAGAAGAGAGCAATTAGTATGCCTAACTTGATGTTTCCCTATCTAATTGCTTTTCAATGGCTGTGAAATAACTCCTTACGTTTGGTTAAGCGCGTTTAATGATTTCTTCTTTGAGATTGACTCCTCAATTTGGACTTTAGTATGTCTCAGAAGGTGTGAAAATAACCATGACTTTCTAGTGTTTAATAAAGGCGCAATACTTAACATCTTTCCTTTCATTTAGTGTACCGGTGCTAAATATAAAAGCATACGCTTCTTCAGAGACTTCATTTAAATCAAGTCAAGTTATATTTGTGCACATGTCTCCCATGAACACCACAGTAGCGCATCCGAAATCGCTGGACAGTAAAGCGACAAATGGTTTATTATGGAATGAAGTGAACTCTCTAGTGAGAGTTATACTTTACTGTGGAGTTCTCACCGAATAAATGGATGGAAAATGTTAGGTGTTGAGCAAGCCCTGAACACTGGGAGTCAAATGAGCTTCTAACTCACAGACACACGTCTCGCCCCCTTCGAAATGAGGGTTTCGTTCGTCAACCGTTCGTGAAGTTTGTCTATAGGTTGTGTCGAACAGTTCCATAATCGGACTTAAGACATTTCGATAAAGTGATTAAGGACGGACGTGATAGTTATAAAAACTCTTAAGGGATTGACTTTCCTTGATCAACTCTGATCTATATTCTTTAAAGCAAATCCCTCAAGCAGTGGGTTGGTTTGCTGACAAACCTACGTGTGGTGGATAGCATACTATCAAGCCATTTTACATAGTTCTTACTGAGATTGCTTCCTCATCAAGACGGATAATCCAAACACAGGCGTCATAAATTTATACACTCAGACTGTTACTGATAAAGACAATGGATGTTTAGCTGGATGTGGTTCCCTTGTTACCATTGTTCGTTCGTTATAATTCAATAGGTTCTCAAGGATAGTAAAGCATTCTCAAGTAGTAGAGACGCATGATTTACAGTTAAATTGAACGTCATTGTGCTATAATTTGTAGACTATTCCTAGTTTAATTCAGTTTGTTGATGTTAAGCAATTAAATGTCTCTAAGCTCACAAACGTTGCCCACCAAATCAGTTATGTGCAAGCAAAGTTTACTTCAAACTACGATGAGAGGAAATATAAAATTATTTGTCCCATGAAACATGAAATGAGTAGTAGGAATGTGATTTTGGTTATTCAGTCATAAGTTTTGTTATGTTCTTCCTGAACTTGGAGGAGATAGATATCGATGAATGAGAAGGATGATATATGAGGCGATTAGTTTTGGTACCCATGAAACCAAATAGTATGTCAAGTCTCCTTTTGAAAGATGAAATAAGAGTCCTCGTTGCCTCCTTCGGATAGAAGTTTCTTTGTCTACTGATCTTAACCCACGAAAAATTTGTCCAGATTTAGAATATGCTCTCTCGTGTTCTATTTCACGTAGATGATCTCATATGTGTTGTTCGGTACTGAATAATGTAAGTGATATGCTTGAGAAGACCATATCCTTCCTATTCTTCTGTACTTTACAGGTAGAAAACTTGACTTCTTCTTTCTGGGTACGTCAGGTGTACATTTTTACGCCTATGCTTGTCCTTAAATCTACTTAAGATGATGTCGTTCTTGCAAACAACGGGGAATTATGTGAAATATATTCCTTAAGTAAAATCAGAAAATGGTTATGTGACTGAATAGTCAGGCTGTATACAATTCTGGCCAGGAACTCTCAGGCAGAGTGTGAATTATGGACTGTGGAGGTCTTCTAGTGTTATTGGTCCCAACCACGGAATTCTCAAAGATGAACTTGAAACAACTGAGAAAATAGATACTTAACATTTAACACGGAGGAAAGGTTAACAATAGTTTACGCGAGAACATTCATTTAGGAATCGATCGGATGACACGGCTTAGCATAAAATAAATAGTTCCATCAGTCTTTGGCCCCGAATCTGACCTCTGAAGTTCGACTGGACAAACCCGTGTCTAAAGACTGTTGAGTGGCCCTCAACGACGGTGCAAGTTTCGATAAACGGTACAGCTAATCTCTTACAGAAAACTCATCAGTCTAGATCACGTACTGCTCAACTTATCAGTCATCATAAAAATATTTCATCGAACCTTTCCATTCCAATATGTGAGGGAATCATGAAGAAAACTTGACGGCTTAGTAGCACGTGGCGCACTAACATTTAAGAGTTAAAGTGATCGGAACTATTGAAAAATGACAAAAGACTAGGACAGTCTTAAAATGGTAACTGGGGTTTGGTAACGTATGATTTCGAATGCGTACGAAGTGTAACATTAGTTTGACCTACCGCGTTACACTTCGGTAAGCTGTAGTGGCATTTGTTTTTATTCTCTTGTTATGAAGTAATGCTCGGTACTACTCATATAATTCGAATCTCACAGAGATTCGTCGAAAAAGCAAACCTGCTACAACTTAATAATCCACTTCATGATCCTGTTATCCATGTAGTTAATTTATATGTATTCTTGCAGAAGTATGTATATGTTCCTCTACAAACATTCATTTGACATAATCTTTGTAGACAGATCAGCTGTTTGTGGGACAGTGTTTTACTTACAGGTTGTTAACTCATTACTTCGCAGATAGTGACTTGTCTGTTCATCCCCACTGACTGTTCATAATTATTCAGAAATTTATCTTGGATACACATCAGTCATGTAATTCCCAAGCTTGATCACTGATTTTTCAAAGTGCTGATTGGCATTGTGGGTAACTCTGGGAAGAAGTAGATGTCGGCGAAACTATGTCATTATTTTGCTTCGTGTTAGACTCATAAAGTATACCATACTGACGAACCAGTGTGATATATGATGTACTGGCGAAACTGTAATTTATAGACGACCTTCGAGTGGTATTGTAGCGGCCTCGAGAAACTATCCACCTATCTAGGTTACAAATTGGTGTAATGAATTATGACTCGGTGTTTAAATTAGAGTAACAAATTACAGTTAGGGTTTTTTCATTACTAACGGGCATCAGGTATAATGGCAGAATGTCATTAAGCTGTATGGATGAATAAATATTGTGCCAAAACCCAGTGACCGCTCTCATATTTGGCTTGTCCGTCCTAAAATTATGGTCTTGCCACCTAGTAAGCTCAGTTACAAAATACACCTGCTTCTGAAATACATTGTATCTAAGATGTCAATCTCTCACTGACCTTACCCGACGCGATTCGAGGCACAGTCAGTTGTCTGTGTCCCTAAAAAGGTTTCCGCACTCTAACATTAACTAATTCCACCGAACACAAACCGTCTTATCTCCAACTACTACCTCTAACACTTAAATCCAAACTCCAAGCTTTACTACTAACCTTGTGTCCTATCCCGAACCCTCCATATCTGTCGACCTTACCCTGTCTCCTAGTTCTTAGCCCTAACCTTTTCTTTTGTTCGCTTTAGCAAATAATTTAGCATGTAAACATTAATTGGTGTCGTCAAGGCTGTTCGTCCGTTGTCATTTTATTAGTTTGTTTTACCTCGTTCCATAACTGCATTATTTTCTTTCTGTCTGATAACTTACTTAGGGTCCTCAGCATATTCTACTTCTATCATTTGGTAGCCGTGGTAGTATCTACGATTTTCCCGGTCAGGATTCTCATATTTTATGTAGTTGGCAACATTGGGGAAAGTTCAAAACCTGTTGACTCATCCTTTGCTCTCCTTTAACCGAATCAACTCAATTTCATCTTCAATTCCGTTTGTCTCTAATAAGTTGTATTTTACTGTGTCGTGACCAAGTGATATCACTCTTGTTTGTGCTTCTCGTCTCTATATTGTCATGTTTCTAATATTTTTAGGCTCAGTAACGTTAGCTAGTTTTTATTTAACCCGTTCATGTTTTTTGTACACTTACATCTACTTGGTCAGTCAGTTGTGCTATGCATCCGTACCAGGTCTTATTTTATCTATAATAGACTGAAATAACCAATTACTCCCCCTAAGTGCCATATATTTAGTTAGAAATGTCCTTCAGTGTTGCATAATCACATTTCAAGTAGTGATCTGTCAGCTTTCCGTATTTTGCTAGCAAAATTGTATACTCATCTAATTGGTCGTTCGGACCTTATTTACGGGGGAATATAGTGGGTAACGCGTAAAACTCATAAGTAATGACAAGGAATGATGAATTTCAAAAGTGGGTTCGACTGCGGTGGTTTTCTTAGACTGTAGTGTAACTCACACTAGTGATAAAAGATACACCTACCTAAAGTCGATTTTGTTTATTCTGATTCATATAATCCATAAGTATCTATAAATATTTCCAATCAGCTAATGCCTTACTCCTAATAACAAATGTTCATTTAGTCGGTCTAGGTTTAGTTAGACAACCAAGGCTTCTTAAATGATATCATCAAAATATATTCTTTTCGGTACCATTAATTCAGAGGAAAACTCATCTTACTGAACTCTTAAGTAAACGAATATAAAATCGAAGATTAAATAAGTATTTAGTGTTTCTGTTCATTATGGAGATGAAAGACAAAGGATTAATGTTTAGTCAAACTGATGTAAGATGTAAAATCAATATGTTTTGTTTCTCGTTTTGAATCCCAAAACACGGTACTTTCCAGCCGATGCTTTCGGTCCTGAAAACTAAAATCAAACTTATGGGCACGCTGACTAGTCAGTCAGTTAGTCATATCTAACAAAAAGTCTGGGGCATATGTACATCGATCCGAGTCGCCACAGCTCATCAGCACAGCAAAATGGCAGAATTGTAGAAGTAGCAACATTATTGGTGGTAGTAGAAAAGAGTAAATATGGATGACATAATTCAAGAAGAAAATATGGGCTTGTGTAATGGAAAAACTCAGGATAATTATTAAGATCTAAATGAAGACCGAAAGTAACTACATTTGTGCCATTAAGACTGATTTTGTACAGCGTCACCCAACATTTACAACCATCAATTGTGATAACCTCGTGAACTCTAACTAGGTAATCTACATCTATCACCATGGTTCGAACCAAGAGTCAGTGACTACAGAATGATGTCATGTCTTCATTTGATAGCCCTTAACTTTTTCCAATCTACTTCTAGACAAACAGACATCGCCTGTCGAGGAAAATGGTTGTTGTGGATGCGTAATATATGTTCCAACCACCTTGAATTATATAGATCCATTGCTTTATCAACCGATTTGGCATCCTTACCTAATACTCAGTATCTAACTTCAAAACCCACCGGAGTTGATTAGGGCGCTCAATTACTTCGCTCATACTTCCAAGCCAGCTTTAAAGCGACACGGACTAGTTATGTGAGATTTTTGATTGGTGAACATTGCTCTCTTCCATGAACATTCTTTGTTAGAAAAGATGTACAGGGGAAATATTTTTATCGTGCGAGGGTACCAAAATGATTGTGTTTCCCGATTATTTTGAACAAATTTTAAGGTGCCGTCCCCACTTTTCAAACATGTTGTTCAAAACACAGTATACATAAACACCTGACTCAAAAACACAGAGTAAGATAGTCAATCATTTAGACCACTTTAATTATTGAGAGATATGCCTTTCTTTTTCGCTTAGTTTCTGTAAAGGTACAAATGTTTTGTGTACGGTTTTTTATCATGCTGTGTGTGGTATATCTGAATACACATAGGGGAAAAAGTATGTTGCTTCGTATTTTCGTCTGTATAATTTAGTGTCTATGAACTACGATAATGACGACTTGCATAGGAAGGTGTAGTTAGTGCAAGGTATAAATATATGATTCGCGAATTTATATATTATGGCAAAATCATATCAATATAGTTGGAAGAATCCACTCCAAAATCTCCCGTTATTTGTTTCTGTATTATTTTTTTGACCTGTTTTCTCGTTTTATACTATTGATTTACGTCTTTTGTCATGAGTGAAATACAGATCGATACGATTTTTAGCTCAGCTGAAACTGCACTTTAGGGTAGGTTATCAGGTACATGTTTTTACTACCGTTGACAAATGGGGCGTTGAAAAGTGCTCCAAATAAATAGACTACCAATTTTCTAAGGTATGAAAAAGGGAAATCATCTAGTAATAAGATATTTATATTTTATTTAACACATAGATATTGGTACAAAGAGGCACCAAATACATATGCGCCACACAAATCTCATTTGATATGTGTGAGGGCTGTGATACTGCCCGGGTGCCCAAACCGAAGCAGGTAGTAATATGATGGATAGGAAAATCATGTTTTTGCACCTTAAAAGACTATTAAATTACGCGTTATTTATTTATTTGTTTGTTTGAACACAGATATTGGTACAAAGGGGCACCTAATACATATACGCCACATAAGTCACTTGACTTGTGTGTGGGGTATAATACTGCCCGGGTGCCCAAACCGAGGCAGGTGGTTTTCTTAGGGGGCCACGATCGGAGCCTTCGACCTTAAGGTCTGATCCATGAGGCAGTGGAGCAACGTCACATGCAGTCCGATTGTAGCCGGTGACCGATAATTGGTTCATACGCCATTTATTCCTCTAGGTTCCCGGAGACCATGTGCACCGTTAATTTGGAATCAGGGTTTTCCAACTCCCCTAGGTGGACTCTTCGTATCCACCAACCCGGTTAAAACGTCGAACATTCGCTTTTCGTCTTCTCAATTTTGTAAACAATACCCCCGTCACGGGAAGTTAGTGAGCAGGACTTCCCTGACAGTGGCTATATACGCGTGGATATTTGAAAGCATTTGGGGGCAAATTACAGGTTGCTCATCCCCAAATATGTATTACTGTTTAGAAATATTCAACGTGATTGTCAACGACTTTGATTTTGTGATATATTTGGTAGCACCGTGCAACCAAAATGTATGATTTCCAATGGAATCACATCTAGCACTAAACCTGTCTTATTTTAACGTAATTAGGTTTAGCCCGATAAATTGACGAGTCATTATCATCATCCCAAATTACTTTCTAGCTGTTCGCGTTTGCATAGAAATTCATTCATGTTATTCTTTTCAGTTCATCGTAATTTTTTCAACGTCTGTTGTACTACTCAGCTGTTCGAACACCATAGATGATTTTTCTGGGGTCACCTTCAAATATTCGGCCTAGATTTCTGTATCAACAAACCTGATCCAAGCACCAAATGTTTGTTTTCACCCTCACTTTTGTAGAGACATGGCGATGGTGAGCAATATCTTCTTAAACGAGACTAGTTGCACAACCGTCTGACGTTACTTCGAGAAATGCAAACTGTCCACTTTCTACGGAACCACTATGTTCAATTGTAGACATTTTACTAGCTTACAAGGTGCTAATATTAAGTCGAGTAGCACAAATGTTTCTTTTGTTTGATGTAACTTCATTATGAGCCAAATCATATTTCGGCGTTTCCATAGTTGTATTAAAATTGCAACCACAAGTCTCTGATTCACGGGCTTATATTGCACACGTTTTCTCAATGTTTGATTGGAGTCTGGGGTTGGAAATTAACTTTTGATAAGTGGGATTTTAATAAATCCAGATAGACTGAAACTCTTTCCAGTTAAGACCGGTTTTGGGGTCTACAAATGGAAGTAAGACAGTTTCCAGTAAATGAAAATAAACTAGTGAGATATACTCTATCCGTCATATAGTTCAAATAGTCAGTTATCACCAGCAATCAGTACGTCACTTGCTCCCGTTAAATTCTGGATTTGATAAGCAATAAAGTAAAATATAGCGTTTAATCACTCGAGTGTTGTTATTATGTTTTGATTTAGGTTTGATCGTCACTTACTATACGCAGTGTAGTACAATAACGTCTTCTTTTTATGAGTTTTGTGTACAAACATTTATCTATTCTCTCATAATTCAGATAAATGTGTATTATATTCTTGCTCGATATTACTTATCTTTCTTAGTAATGGCAGATAGTGCTTCTGAATTAGAACTGGAATCTGATGCGAGTTCCGTTGATGGTACCAAAGACTCATTGGTTACAAATGAACAGATTTTACGACGTATCGAATCTTTACAGCAAGAAAATCGAGTTTTAAAAACTGAGGTAGAAACTTTGAAACTCAAGATCAAAGGTCTGAACGACTTAAATCAGCAACTGAGGCGTAATAGTGTTAGTATAGTAAGTTCTGTAACTATCACGTATACTTGTTTCATAGCAAGCGAAAGCAGAACAGGAAGAGGAATATATTAGCAATACTTTGTTGAAAAAGATCACTGAGTTAAAAAAAGAGAAAGAATCACTCGCATTAAACTATGAACAGGAAGAAGAATGTCTTACCAATGAGCTTAATCGTAAATTCACACAACTCAGACAAGAAAAAGTTGCACTGGAGCGTACTTTAGCTCGCGAACAAGAAAATCAGGTAAATTTCACTAGTATAATTGGTTTTTGACATCTTTTTGTGGTGAGGCAATATATATATAATCACAAAGTTTCTCGTAATTAATATATCATGATCAGGCTTATTGCTTCAGCGTTCAGTTAAATCTTTTCCATCATGTTTAAGTAGCCTGGAAAAACACGAGTTATCTTTGTTTCTGAGTTGAAAATCGCGTTTTATGATGTTTGTTATGTTAGTGAAATATAATTATGTTCTTGTTCCTAGGTTTATATCCAAACACCATCATTTCTCATGCTAATCTGTTTGCTACTTTGTACATTCTGTATAGCCACGTTAAAAGCATCTCACTGAAAATTCCATATCTAAACCCAAATATTTTAGTCTTACTTTGGTTCTGGCTTCTAGTATACATAATAAAATATTAAGAGATAAGAAAGTGAGAACAGTCAAAAATTACCGAAAATATATTGTTTGTGCTTCTGAATTTGTGTCCATAATGATTGCATGTAATATTTTTAGTGTTATGGTAATCTCATCACAGCGTGTATAGATGTTCTCCGATAGACCTAAGCACTTGTTAAGTGCAAAATGAATAAGCTATGGCCTAATGGTTAAAGCGCTAAATTTTCGAGTAGCTGCTCACTTCGGATTGGGTAGATATTTAATGTCACCAGCCCTCACACGTATGTTTCAAAACGTACATAAACTTGTACTTTGTAAATGAGTTATGTTACTTCTACTTTTCTGGTTTTGTGTGGTTGTTTACTCTGTATTGATTTCTAATGAATTCCGCTTTTAGGCTAATAAAAGTCCTTGTTTTAACAGTGAAAATGTCCTAATTTTGAACATATATTCTTACTATTTTTTTATCCACCTGTGTTGAAACTATGTTCGTTATTGATATAATTTGTAAAAAATTTATCTTCCTCCAGGTCAGCAAATTAATGAGACGAATCGAAAAACTAGAAACGGATATGAATCACAAACAGGATTGTTTGGATCGCTTACGCAGAGAGAAAATTGAATTAGAGAATGCACTTGAGCAGGAACAGGAAGCTTTAGTGAACAGATTATGGAAAAAGATGGAAAAGCTTGAATCTGAAAAGAAAATATTACGAGTTAGTGTGTGAATTTTATTATTATTTTTTGTTATATGAAATGTTGAATATTTTCATTAAACGTCTTAAGAAAAGCCATTAGTCTACGCTATCGTACTTCGTAAGGAATTTTCTGTTCACTGACAAATGAGATTGTTGTTATGACGAATATTAGTAAACTTTTTGTCTAGTTCATATTTATCTTGATGGCGTTTTGTTCTCTGAGCTGGATGGTTTGGTCGTGGAGCTTTCATCGTTCTTCTGAACGACATCATCAGCACAAACTTCAGATAGTTTGTGCTGATGATGTCGTTCAGAAGAACGATGAAAGCTCCACGACCAAACCATCCAGCTCAGAGAACAAAACGCCATCAAAATCATCCACCTGAGCTACAAATCTTCTCCACCATCTCATATTTATCTATTTAATTATATGCCATGTTTTAGTTTGTTGTACCGTTTGCTTCTAGGTTTCACATAGTTTAATAAAGTCATGTTTAATCCTCTGTGTATTTAGATGTAATCTACATTCTCTCTCTATCACTATTATCTCTTAGCCTTGATTTATTGGTTTGATGATTCCTTCCATGTTGTATTTCTTTCAATTTTGGTACCATGAAAACGTGAGTGAAATAAGCATTGTTTGAATACTGTAATGACTTTTTGTAAAGTCATTCTATATGCTGATAATCGCGCATACAATGCAAACACTTAATGTAATGATAATGCATATCCGTATTTATGATGCCTTTCGAAAATGTCAATTAAATCAATTATATTATTGTTTCTACTTAAAAAGTTTATGGTGTTATTGATATATTCGAATGATTTCACTGTTTTGTACCATTCCTTTTTATACTACTAATTTAGATTTCTAATTTTACCTATGCAAAATAACACTTATTTGTTTTGTTCGATGGTGTGTGACTCGAAATTTCCGTTTTATGTTTTTTTTGCGTGTAAATCTTGCAACAAAACGGTTAAGCTTCCTTCTTCCTATCGATTATTAGGTGTAATAGTTTGGCATAGGCTTTGGTGATATATACCATATCGTAATAGGTCACTGAACCGGTTTACTTCATGTTTAGTCCTAGCATTTTCTCCTATCTACTTTTTTAAAGGTTACAGACACTATTTAAAGTATTTCTAATCTGTACTACTAATTACAGTCTTGAACAAGAAAATCTGTTACTTCATCAGTGTTATCAAATTTGGATACAATGCTATAATAAAAAAATTATGGGACAGTTGATACTTCAGTGCAGTCATTTGGCAGCTAGAATCTCCACCGTAAAGCAGTGACTTAGTGAATAATGCAACTAACTTTAAACCAGTAGGTTACAGGTTCGAATCCTTTATTTGCTTTGTTATAGCCAGTTCGATTACCCCGTTTCTCATCACATTAAAATTGTAACTAAAAGCCGACAATGTAATTCTGTACTTGTTTGCCGAGGTACAGTTGATTTTTGTCTTTGATACATAGCATTACACATCATAGCTTCATGGAGTTAAGTCGACATGTAGCAGTACATCGACAAACAGCTCTCTATATTGGTTACTTTCATATAATCAATCGTTGAAAAACCTGTTCTGCTATTGTAAGTATTGTTAAATAAATTATTTTATATTTTTCCAGGAGAAACTGGAATCCGTTGGAGCTCCACTGCCCAGCCTTTCAAGTGCCCAAAACCTTGCCACTATTTCAGATGGTATACCTAATAACAGTTCAACAGTTCCCCGTCCTATCAGTAGTGGACCCGGTAGTCTTCGTAGCTCTTTCAGACAACACAGCCACCTACCGCATACTTCATCTAGTTCAATTGGTACCTCTTTTTCTGCTGTTACGTGTCCTGTTTCTCCTGGTAGAATATCTATCTCATCCGGTAGTGAGGAAAAAGCTCCACAATCAAGTCAGTGTTCTTCTATCCCCAACGATTTGACCTCGAAATCCAATGTATCTGAATGTAATGGCGCACCATTTACACTACCACCTCAAAGTCCCATGGATATCGATGCATTGGGTAATTATATTCGAAAGTATTTTACATCGTAAACTGAATCCAGTTAAACCATCATTTGAATGAAATATGTATTCTAGATCTCATTGCTAGTAATTACTTGAAAATACAATGAATTTTTAATTACAAGTAGCCCATTATTTGTTGGACTACACCTTATAGGAAAGTGCAGACTACCTGATTCGAACCCGTTGATTATCATAACTAATGGTTGGAAACTTTCGGTAACGCGGTTCAGAATCGTTTGCAATGACTCAGGTGCATTCACTCTTTGTTCTTTAGGTTTTGAATGTTAAGATTAGCTTACACTTCTTATTCTACGAATTCCTTATTGAATCATACTGTATATGCTGAATACTTTCTACTACCATTAGTACTATTCCTACTTCTACTGCTCTGCTATTGTCTTAATAGTTGCATCTTGGTGTCCTAATACGATATGTCAACTTAAACTGATGCATACATATATCTCAGGTTCTGCGTTGCTTGTGACTGACTGACTAACTAACTAATTAACTGAAAGGCAATCTTAAGCCCATTCATTCAATAGAAATGTTAAATAAACAACAATTGAGAGACGATTATCAATAACCTATGAAAAACACAAACCCCCATAAAAATTGGTAGACATATTTATTTTGAAATTTTTTTTATCAAATTCTATGGCTAAGCTTAATACTAATATATCTTAATATCTTTATCGTGAATTATTATGTGTACATTTTTTGTACTTTAGCCATTGTGTTTTTCAGTATGTACAGCTCAGTTACTGTCAAAAAATATTGCTAACGAGCTACAAATAAACTTTGGAGTGTTTCTTAACCAGCGCTAAAATAAGCGTAGATACTTTTATTAGTTTTAGACTAGTCGTTTCTCGGTTATATGACCGATCGTTCAAATGTAGTTGGCTGTGGTGTTTTATTTAAGTGTATCTTCTTATCGATCAAAGCATTCGATTTCAAGTTTAAGCTCCTACTTCACCTGCCATAGTTTAGGCTACCGGATAATATCACCTCTCTAGTAGAAAAACATCAATAAAACCAACTACGTTAGCTGTATTACTCTGTCATTATTATTATATACATAACTGGTTTGTTTAAAGACATGAAAATGTGGACTGTAGAACTTTTGATAACTGAATCAAAGGAGCTTTTTAATTGTTGTCCTTCTGATATCAACAATGTAGGATAAAAGGTATCAAATTAAATAGTTTAAAAAAACTTACTCTTAAATCAACTTGGTGTTGTTTGCTTGTGTCTTCCCATTGTTGTTGAGGACTGGAATTGATCAGTCTCTTGTTGGCATATGTGCATCCTTTGTTGACTGCCTCCATATTACCTTAAGTCGCAAGCTTTATAAGCAAATATGGATAGTGGCTAGCCGTGGAATCCAGTACGCGCGTTTCTTCCTATTTGGGACTCATCAGCCGGATGTGCCTGCATCTCTGAGTTGATGTGCACTCCAGGACTTGAACCCAGTACCGTTCGTTTCAAACACCGTCGCGTTATCCACTTAACTACTGAGTTCTGGTAGCCACCCGTTTGTACAGTATTAAAACATCCTTGTGGTTGGTCACTGCTGTATTAGTTAGCTAGCTAGTCACATGTAATAATAGTACGAATTACACGTTTATGATTATAAATGCGCTGGTTGAGTCGAAAGATTTTCCACATCTGAAAACCATAATATAAGTGTCATTATTATTATTATGAGTTATCATTACCGAATTTAAGGCCATCGACTAAAACTACACAGCACTTGTGAATAGTTGTGGATTTTGCTTTCTTTCTTTATTCCTTTTAAATATGTAGTTCTTTTATCTTATATAGAACGTGTCTTACATATTTTGCTTTGAAAAAATATTTAATAAGGAATCAAAAATAACTTTGGTCTCATTAAAAGTTTTATTGTTAAGTGATGTGTATTTTTATGATCAGTTCTTGCTGTAATATGATTATATTGTTTAGTTGATATTCAGTGTAGGATGATGATGACCTTAACGTCCTGTTTTTAGTTAACCTAGCAAATTTGATTTGAATAACACATAATCATACGATATTCAAGTGATTCAGTAAATAAAGCCTTGGCACTTGGGTACGTTAATAATTTTCATGCTTGATTAGACTTAAATGCATCACTTTAACGTTACTCAATGATTGTTTTTATTGTATCTTAAATATTTCTTGCTTGCAGATCCTAATGCAAGTGGTGCAGCTAGTCCATGTGGAAGTGTTGGTCTGCAATCACTCCCAACTACTCCAAGTCACTCACACTCTTTAAGAAGTCCTTCAACACCTTGCGCTGTGCATAAAGTGGTCATTTCTCAAGAGTCGTTTACTCCTAATCAGTCATCAGATGTCGTTCTTAGTACTTCTGCTCATGTGATTTCGACATCATACGTTAATCGATTGCGTGATGAAGTTTGTCGTCTACGCCAATTACTTCAACGCTATGAAGCGGAGTCTGCTTGTAAGATGCCTCAGTATGAATCAGAGGAAAAATCAGTTGCTGAGGAAAACCGTCGTTTGCGAAAATTGCTTCAAGTTGAAAAAGAAAGACGTGAGGCATTGTCTAGACATTTGAGTGAAAGCGAATCAAGTTTGGAAATGGAAGATGAAAGGTAAAGTCCATTGGCTGTATATTTATGCTTCTATAGTCTCTACTAAAGTATTAGAAACATGAAATTTAGTTAGGGAACCTCTTGTCAGCAAACGTTTTATTAAGCTATACACTCCTATACATATGTTGATGTAACGAAAAAATTCCAACATTAGGTTATATTAGCATAAATGGCAACAATACAAGGTTGTGCAACTTCTACAGAATGTGCTCAAATAAAATATATAACTTTTTTTAAAATAGCACATGGATTACGTTATGACTGTTCGTTAGCCTACTGTATTCAGTGTTGTATTTAGGCATATTTTATTTAGCGATTTGAGGAATTTTGTAGATTCATGCTAAATCAACCAGAGATAATGTGTTCAATGAATGGAATTCTAATTTTATCATCTAAATCGTTGATTTACGTAAATTTGCACACTTAATTAGTTCTGTGCATAGCTTTCGATCAGTTATGAAAATATACTCATAATGTTTGCCTTTATTTTTAATAGACAGTTTAATGAAGCTAGTCGTTCCACTCGCTTAAGGACGATTTCTGATTGTACATCTCCATTTCAACCCCCTGTTCCTGCTCCTTGGACGTCTGGTGGTGGTACATCTTCGTCATTGTATGGTCCTGGCCATGCATTTGCTGTTGCTGTAGCTGCTGGTGTGAGTGGTCATTCAGGTACACGAGTTTGTCGGGAATGTGGTCAACCATTAACTAGTCCTTTTTCGACTGATTCTACATCTGTAACAAGTGGTCGGTTAGTCTCAAATTCATTGCATAATCCTAACCATGTGGTGAGCTTACGTAATTGTTCTGGTCGTTGTTGCTCTCCAATCAGTAATGTAAACACTTCAGAGGCACATTCAGTTCATACTTCAAACTCTCCTTCTACACCAACAACATCATCTTTAAATAGTGATCATTTTGTAAAGCCAACTTACCCAGCTGCTGTAAGTCCACAACAAAATCCTTACTATTATCATACAATCCCTTTATCTGCTGATAATAGTCGGATATCTTCATCAGAGAAACGATTTTCAACTTATTCAATTGACGATAAAGATATTATTCAAAAACCATTAGATTTAGAAGATGGAGATGAAGAAGATGATGCTCGATGTATTACACCTCCAAGTTGTCATAATTAATCATTGAATTCGAAACCTTTTTTCGCGTCTACACAAGCACCCACTACATGAAGTGTATTTTATCACTTTCTACTCACTTTTGATGTAAACGTTTTCTGTGTGTGTATGCTGTTTTCATTTAAACCTTCATTCCTTCTCTCATGTTACATACTTATGTAACATACCATTCAAATTTGTGTATAGCTTCACTAAGCACTATTTTTGTGTTATTTTCGCGTTCTTCATCAAATCTCGACTGTTCGATTATTTTTTTATAAAGATATCATTGGTGATGATAATTATGCCTAAACACAAATATAAAAAATGGGTTTTTCCTGAGGGAAATAGAAAATTTCCATATATATTTCATCATAGCTTATGACAATAAATTTAAGGTTGTTGCACTGCGTCCTGCTATTTATTTCGGTCCTAACGAGTGTTTACTCACTGATATGATGATAAGCGTGAGTGCTTTCGCTATTCAGTTGAATGGATAGATATTTCATCAAAATGTAAAGCTTTTAAGTTGCTTTAAGATTTTATCTACAAATTTACCAAGTGTTTTAATCTATTTTCCTTGTTTTTCTGACCCATACTGTTATCTATGTATGTATGTATCTGTGGGTGTGTACATCTAAATCAATATTTTCCTAATCAGGTGTCTACTTATAATTGTTTCCAATCTCGAACTCTAACCAATTAACGAAAAAGACAGTTCACAGATACACGATATGTGTACATTTTATTCACAGTCCACTATTATTACCATAAAATTCCATTATTTTCCTTGTATGGCATTCTTTGTGTTTTCTTGTATGTCTTTAACGTACAGTAAGTGGTGTCAGTAACAATAGTAGTATTAGTGAGAAAATATCTTATTGCCATTTTGTCAACTTGTTTTGTCTCTTCGGTATACGCTTTGTAAATCATTCAATCCTCTTTTATTGTTTGTTTAGATGAACAAATGGGCGTCATTACTACTTATTTATCTAGCTAACTATCTCTACCCAATATTATTATACTATCTGTTATATTTTGTAGAACTTCTTCTTCAATCTATATTTCATACATATTTCTGTGTTTTTATTACTGTGATGTAATGTCGCTGTGGTCTTTTGCTTCTCTTAAATATTGAAATATTCAATTCGGTGAATGATATCAACATGCATAAATAATGGAAGTTTTTGTTTATTTAACATTTTGAACACAAAATAAAATAATAATTCATATCTTTAATAAATAATTAGTATCATCCATTATGCTACTGCTACTACTACTACTACTAATAATAATAATAATTATTATTATTTATTGTGTTTTTAAAAAATCTACATTTGTGTATGCGTTGATATGTGAATGTGTGTTTGTACGTTTACTATTTTATGAAGTGTATCGTAAAACATTTTTTGTTTGTTTGTGATTTCGTTAAATACTGGTTCAAAATAATTAACTTACTCTATAGATAAATGTATGTTTTAACAAGAAATCAAATTTTAGTTTAATTTAACTTTCTGAAATATTTATTATTTGGATCTTTTTCTTCGTTGAATGTATTCGGTCAGTTAAGTTCCATTGTTAAACCTTCTTAAATGTACTAAGAATTAAGGTATATATATATATATATATATATATATATATATATATATATATAGGCTGTAACAAGTTAATTGGGTTTATTTACACTCAGCTTATATTTTCAATGTAGCATATACACTGAACCATTTTACTATACACATTCTTTTCACCTAAATAATATTCACATGCCTACTTGAATTTTTCGTTGTTGAAGATGGTAACCTACCTAAGATTTTAATTTCACTCCTGAATGATAACAGATACTTCAAACTCCTATCAATTCTTTTTTTGATTGAGATCATGAACTGTTTGATGTTAGGCCACCTTTGGAAACCTGGAAGCACTGGACAGCCGTTTCGTCTTATAGTGGGACTCCTCGGCAGTGCGCATCCACGACCCTGCTCACGGGATTCGAACCCAGGGCCTTTGGTCTCAATTCCTTTGCATCTTTTAGACAAGTTATTGGCTTAGTGGATAACTCAACGTTTAAAACAAAAGGTAGTGGGTTCGGGTTTCAATATTAATATTAATGTTGGGCCGAAGGTGCATCCAGACAAATCTCAAATTGGACGACACACTTGTTCTGGATTCCACTGCTAGTCACTGTCCAACTTTAGTAAAACCTTTGACTACATGGTAATGTAGATCTAATGGGATGCTTATATCCCAATAGAGATTGATCATTTACATTCCTGAATAACAGCGATGAAGTGTTTCAAATACTTACCATCCCTTTTTGTCTGATCCTAAATTATCATGGATTTGTAGAGTGTAGGGATGTGTCGCGCTGGAGCATCAATATACATCTCAGTTGGGAAAAAATCACGGCGTTTTTCTAATAATATTTTGTACCCTTTATAAGTAATCTTGATCACAAAGATATCAGTTTGAAGCATCGATTTATGAATACGAAGTTTACTGATTTTAGAGTGACAAAAAATTCACTATATCACAAAATGACTGACGTTAAAAATATATTCTATTAAATTTCGACTCAGTGTTCTAATGAAATAGAAGTGTGGAGGTTCTAGGTTCAATTTTTTGTTGTGTTGTGAGAGCAAATTGCTGAGTGGTTTTAAATTAACCACTACAGTGCTGTGCTGTAACATGAAGCAATTTCTAGTGCATTCCATTTCTTAAATGTTGTTAGACTAGAAATTTACCGTTCTAAATATCTGTGCAGTAAATTTTTGTCGTCTAAACCACCTTACAACTTATAAATTGAGGGCATTAGTTCTGTCATTGAAACTATCTTACTTTTCAGTTTATTTGTATTGATTGTCTTACTGTTCACTATATTAGTTGTTTGTATAACGATTTTCGATCATCTTTGTTACTCATAACGTGTAAAATCGGCTCTAAATCGATATTTTGCCCACATTTTACCGAATATTTCAATCTTGGTAAATTAAAAAAAATTTCACTCAGTAGTCTCGAATAGATTTGTAAAATTAGAAATAACATTATATATATATATATATCATGGCTACCCACTAAGTTATCAATCATTATTCGACGAATGAAAATAGACCTTGCTTTACGACCTGTCGTTAAGGCTAGTGAAGTATAGTTTAGTTCGCATTTTGGTGCACGAACATGACAGTTTCTGCAGATTCTCTGATCTCAATACCTAAATGAATGACAGTGAATTTCAACTTTTGTATGCAAATCAGCGCTTGACTAACTGCTTTTATTATATGCGATGTTTTTTTTGACGGTCAGTGTGTCCTAATTACCTGAAATTCGATTTGAAGGATTCTATGTAGACCTTGTGATGCATGTACTAACAATTTATGTTTGTATGAAAAGACTAAATTTTATTCGATAGAATTTTAGATTTTCTGCTTGAATATGTTCATCCTGTAGGGTTGATTTATTATAAAACGTTCAGCGTGTGACAATCACGAACGATGACATTTATCATTTTCTGTTGTTTGAAATTTCCCTTTTTTGCAGTAGAAAAAGACTTTGCAATTGTTTTTATGGTTTGTGATTTGAACTTTATATTTTAAAAAAAATGTTTATATTCTAATAACAATACTGTTGTAGTGAACAAGAACACCAGTGGGGACAATCGAATGTATTTAACACAAAATTACAGGACTTGGTAATAAAATCTAACAATCATCAAGTAAATGCTTAATTTGCAAAATGTCCACCAATTGTCTCAAAATGACCCAGACTTCATTGTTCTTGCATTTTCATACAAATTGCATCCTGTTCCATTTTTTATTGTTTGATCCTTTTGTCTTTCTGCTGCCAGACCTTCTGTTCAAGACTAACAACATATACTACTTATGTCAATATAAGTAACACACACCACACTGTGACTCATTTTTCAAACACAAATTTGTGTATTTAGTTCTTAGTTATAAATTTAGCTATAGGGATTGCCCAAATTATAGTTAACGTATCCTGTTACGAATATATGGCCTACTGATTGAAAATGATATACTTTAATCAAAAATCGAAATTTCATCTAGTTTTGAGATCTAACTAAATTATCCATCGACCAGAGTGATAGTAAACCAACTCTCAACAAATGGTGAATGATCATTATTGTATCAAGCAATCTTGATTTAAAAAAAAAAAATCAATATTGTGTATACTTATCTCCAAAGATTTTTGTATAAATTAACATTTACCATACCTCTTACATAACTTTTAATCAATCAAATAAATTTGACTCATAATTTACATTAACGTGAATTCATTTCACATTTGATATTTTATTTCCAACTCATTTGTACTACAAATTTTTATGTTTCTATGCTGTTTTTTTTCTCTCTATTGATTTAGTGATTTATGATCATTTGATTAAAGTTTTGTTTTAATCTAATATTTACTTTAGGTATTGATTATATCTTATATATTTCTTTTTGTTCAAAATGACATCTTTTGATAAATAAACGGAAGTTGTTAAAGGAAGAAAAAATATCTATATCATCTGAAACATAAATCAATATTGATATATATATATATATATATATATATATATATATATATGTAGTTAATTGATGCTCTATATTACTTACGTGATCTTGTTTTCCCTCCTGGGATATAGGTGATTGTACCACGTAGTTGATGTTTATTTGAAAAAAACGAAGGGATGACTTTTTCTTTAAATTTAATGTTTGTAAAAAATGTGTTTGTTTTGAAAACCAAAAATTATTGGTTAATTTCCCTCTTTTTCCACTATACAGAGATTAACAACGTAGAATCTAGTACAATAGTTTACAGGTTTAATGTTATCACATGTTACATTCTCTATTGTAAGAGTGAATATATGATGAAACAAAGTAAAAAAAGATCTATACAATAATACTGCTTGAAGGTCTAAAGGAAAATAAAAAATAAAGACAAGTATACTGTGAAAACCGATTTCGATCTATATCATAGATGCTCTATTTTCCTTAATCAATGAAGGTTAACAGTCTCGTCAATTGATTAACTGCTTTTATCCATAGTATTCACTATGATTGTTTTCGGTCTATTCTTTTCTTAAAGTGTAGTGTAAGTAATTTTAATCGGTGTAATTAACTAAATAAATGTAGGTATCTAAATTTATCTTATTCAATCGGGAATTCATTCAGATTGTTGAAAGTATTAAACCGTTAACATTTATCCAATATAATTTCTCCAATAAGTAAGAAAACTGAAGTGCATCAAATTTTTATAGAAACGCGAAGAAAGCTTTACATTAATAACATTATTGTTATTACCTATATTTTATACTTTTCAGAAGAATACCTGTTAAGTTCAAAAATGCGTTTTTTAACTCCTGAAATAGCCTGGCATGAAACGCTACCAATATATTCATGTGATTTACAAAATCGTCTCAAATTAATAAGTGATAATAATAATAAATGTAGCAATCAAACATCTAGTCGTAGTCCTTTAAGTGAATTAAATTTTAAAAATGTTAAAGATCTCGATCCTGATTTGAATTGGACAAGACTGGCAACAGCTGGTGGTGATAATGTTGTTCGTTTATGGCGTGTTCAGTTGAATTGGTTACCTGGAGTTTTGAAAACAACAACAAAGCAAACTGAATCTCAATGTACTACTAATCTAACGGTAGCTAAAAAAGATCCTGGTGTTAATACTCCTGGTACGACACAAAAAACTGATTCCAAACAATTCGAACATTTAACTTATTTGGCTTCATTAAAACGTCATGAAAAACCTGTCAATGTTGTTCGTTGGTCACCTTCAGGTAAAGTTTTTGTGTATATTATTCATTGATCCATTGTAGCATTTCACCTTCAGGTTGCTAAAGATCATTTATGTACAAAAAATTTCGTTTATGGTATATTTTTATAATTGTTATTTTTGAATATATCACTTCGGTGAATTGCAGCCAATGGTACTAATTAGTTAAATAGGAATCGACTACTAACTGTGTAATACTTTGCCGATTTTCTTAATTTGTTGTTACTCCCTACTAATTTTGATGAGTGAAATAATTTTGAGTACTACTGTAGTGAATGAGAACACAAGCGGGGACAACCAAGTATATAGACACAAAATTACGGAATCTCTTGGTAAAATAGCTGGTGCATCCACTCTTCGTGTTCTCCTGAATCCTCCTTGTCTCTTTTTTTTCTATTTTCAAATTTATTTCGCTGAATTATGCTCTTTGAATAACATCTTCGAACCCTAGTCTTTCTGATTACTGCTTATACTCTTACCGCCTCTGCCACCACGGGA